CATATTTTCGCTGATATACAAAAGGCCGTAACTAAAAATCTAAAACTATGTTCACATTACAACATAAATTACTTTGTTTGGATCACATTTTCTTTGATAATTTCTATAGATATGTGATGGAACGAGTGTGTGGTTTGTACCATGATAAAAACATANGGTAAGACAGATCGTGTCAGCTGACTCGGGTTTACGTACCGGTAGGTTTACGTTCTTGACTAATTTCAGCTTAAAACTACGTTCACATTACATCATAAATTACTTTGTTTCGATCAAATTACTTCACATAAATCAAGTATGTACGTTCACATTTTCTTTCATAATTTCTATAGATATGTGATGGTACGAGTGTGTGGTTTGTACCATGATAAAAACATAGTAAGGTAAAACCGTTCTCTCAACTCGTCGGCCATGATTTTTGAAGTTTGCCAATCATAGTTGCCAACTTCGTGCTTTAAGCACTAGATTTAGTGCTTTTTGAAAATTGAAACGTCNCAGCACTGAATTTACAAGAATCTACAAATTTAAATGGACTAAAATACAACCATGATTGATAAAAAGCTGAAGTTGCAAACCCGCCTTGTTAAATTCTATTCGCGTTGAAAATGCTAGTATGCAAGTAAATTAAGTATTTCTTTTTTCCGTTTCTAATTATTTGTAAAAATTTTATTTTTTTTACCACCTGATTAAAACACATCGTTTCTTGGTGCTGAATCCAAATCTGGCCTCACAATTGCTCTAGCACTAGAATTTTAAGATATCCTAACCTCAAAGTGCCAAAAACACGGTTTTTAGCGATATTTGAGGTTATATAATGAAAACATCGAATTATTTGCTCATTTCTAATTAGAGCATCATTTTCGTTTGATACGATTCGATTTTTCTTTCTCGAGATATACCAGTTTTAATGCGCAGTACTTCGGTATTATGTTATGAAAAAGGCATCCCTTGATTAAAAAAAAAAATTGAGTGCTTTTAGTGTGGTAAAACACCNTTGTTTCTTTTCATCAGAAATTGCGCTCAAATTAAATGCAAATACAGAAAACGTGCCCAATAAACAAAAAAAAAATGCGAAAAATTATTTAGTGCCTAGCGCCTAGTGCTTTTTTTCTGAACTAAAATTACTTCGAGATAGTTAAAACCTGAAATAATTTGAAATATTTTAGGCTGTGACAGCACTGAATTTACAAGAATGTACAAATTTAAATGGACTAAAATACAACCATGATTGATAAAAAGCTGAAGTTGCAAACCCGCCTTGTTAAATTCTATTCGCGTTGAAAATGCTAGTACGTAAGTAAGTTAAGTATCTCTTTTTTTCTTTTCTAATTATTTGTACAAAATTTAGTTTTTTTTTTANTGATTTTTGAAGTTTGCCAATCATAGTTGCCAACTTCGTGCTTTAAGCACTAGATTTAGTGCTTTTTGAAAATTGAAACGTCAAAAAAAAATTATTTAGTGCCTAGCGCCTAGTGCTTTTTTTCTGAACTAAAATTACTTCGAGATAGTTAAAACCTGAAATAATTTGAAATATTTTAGGCTGTGACAGCACTGAATTTACAAGAATGTACAAATTTAAATGGACTAAAATACAACCATGATTGATAAAAAGCTGAAGTTGCAAACCCGCCTTGTTAAATTCTATTCGCGTTGAAAATGCTAGTACGCAAGTAAGTTAAGTATTTCTTTTTTTCTTTTCTAATTATTTGTACAAATTTTGTTTTTTACCACCTGAGTAAAACACATCCTTTCTTGGTGCTGAATCCAAATCTGGCCTCACAATTGCTCTAGCACTAGAATTTTAAGATATCCTAACCTCAAAGTGCCAAAAACACGGTTTTTAGCGATATTTGAGGTTATATAATGAAAACATCGAATTATTTGCTCATTTCTAATTAGAGCATCATTTTCGTTTGATACGATTCGATTTTTCTTTCTCGAGATATACCAGTTTTAATGCGCAGTACTTCGGTATTATGTTATGAAAAAGGCATCCCTTGATTAAAAAAAAAATTTAGTGCTTTTAGTGTGGTAAAACACCTTTTTCCAAGTTTTTGGTGCTTTTTGAAAATCAAAAGATGGCAACACTGTTGCCAACATTTTAAAATCATATAAAATTGAGTGAAAAAAAGGAATTGTTCAAAGTTGTTGTTGTTTGAGATTGAAAATGAGAATGTGTGTGTGAGTTTGTTTGTAAAATTTTAAAATTAATTTGCTTGCAAACGTCAAGAATTTGAAAAATTTCTCTCAGCGGTTCTACCAAGGCGAATTTATATAAGGTGGTGTTACTAGATCAGCTGATTTTGTGTATGTGTTTCGCCGCACGGTTTCTGATTAGGAATGTTCGATATTTAAGAAAGTATCGATATCATGAATCGATTTAATTCATTGCATGTAAAATCGATATGTCGGGCTGAACAATACCGATATCGGAAAAATCGATGTTGAATATCCTACTCCCAATTGAATGGAATATTAGACCTGCTGCTTATCAACTCAACTAATTGTGTTATTACCATCTTGTATATTTACTGAGGATTAAAACGACATGCCGGTCGACTCAAGAGGTTTATCAAACTTAAGAGCTAAATAAATCACACAAGCTGTTCATTAAACCTACTTTAGTATTTTTCCCATATATGTAATACTCCTATATTGGCAGTAAGAGCTAGTACCGTCCGAAAACACTACAGTACAGATATATCAATAAACACGTACGAAAGAAAAGGAACACATACGTTTATAAATAAACATGTACACAACACATATACAAAAACGGCACTCAAGTACACAATACATTGACAAAAACGGTACTAGACTGTCTCGCTTTGATTTCGGAATGCTTACACATTGAAAAGTTAGCTTACTGCCAATATAGAAGTATTACATATATGATTTTTCCATACACTACTTTGTAGATGAAAAATAAGTTTCAACTTAAATATCGATATTGCGGGTAAAGTATCGATCTCGATCTTCGATATATCGACCTTGGAATATCGATTCCAAAAATCTTTGCTTTCACCACACATTTTTGGTGAACTTTTTACCTTCCTTTTATTAGCTCGGGATGTAACCATGGTTGCCACAATTGATAACTTTTTACCAAAATTGGTAACTTTTAAACGGTTTGGTAACTTGGTAACTTTTGTTTCATTTTGGTAACTTATTCAACTAAATATCTTTTTGCATTACTAGAAAGAAATGAATTATATTTGGCATGTGCGTAATTATAAAAACCCTTCGAGCTTCAATGGCAGCACTACTAACACTTCGATACAATTAAAGTCATCTCATATTCGAATACTGGAAATATTTTAATTACAGTGGCAGCACCAAGGGCTGCACTTCTAAAAGGACTTTCGAAGTTTTGCGATACATTTTGAATTCTACCATCTCACATTTTTTGAAATCCTTTTAATTGTTCCGGCACAAAAAAAAAATGTCGCGTGCTTTTTACTACACCCACATACCGAAATGTATTTCGACCCACTGAATCCGAATCTGAGGTCCGTTTGGCACGTGCACTAAATCATGAAAAACCGAAAAAGTAGCAAAAAAATTGCAATTTTCGCAATTTACTCGAAATTTTGTACGAGTCAAATGGATTGTTAAAAGCACCAGCAACTTTTTTTTGTATACCGGTGCCATTATTCCGTGAGTCGCAGGTCCAAATAACGGCAATTTCTGAACGAAAAATTACTCTGAAAATGGCACAACGCCGAAACCGGTTTGTCTCCAAACCAAATTTGACAAGGAATGATAGAAAATCGTTCCACATTACCTACCCTGTCGGAAACACCAACAACGAAAATGAGAATAACGGCACATGCAGTAATTAATTAGTTGCGTTCCAGATACTTCACGATTTGCAGGTTTTTACAGGAAGTCGTTCCAGGTGACCACCTCCCATAAGGTTTATTAATGGGGAAAACAGCTGTTCCTGCAAATCGTGAATTTCGTGAATATCGTGAAGCATCTGGAACGCAACTATTGATAGCAAAATATTTTCTAATAAAAAGAATTATTATAATTGTCAATGGCATTTTCAATCTTGATAACTAGAACTGTGAGTTCTTGATAAATTATCAAAAATTGACAAATTATAGAAATATTGAATTTATTAAATCACAGAAACTGGCTGAAAGTATACACACATTTGTTAAGAAATATAGCAGTTTTATTCAGTATATTTTTTTTCTCAGTGAAGAAGTGAAGATATTTGTAGTGAAGATTTGGTAACTTTTGATAACTTTTCTTATGAGATTTTGGTAGAAAAAAATGTTGGCGAGTGGCAACCATGGATGTAACTATGTAATATTGAGGCGCCTAAAAGATGCAGCGAGATCTATTCTCAAGTTACATACCTGATGACAGTACGAACAGCAATTATAATAGGGAGGTTTCAGTTTTTTAAACTATAATTTTATTGTGACACTCTCCTTCTGAATACCCAAATCGTCTCAAGTCACAAAAATAGTCACTAATTGCTAATCTCAAATCTGAATTACTGAATCCCAGGGTTATGGTCTGATTATGCATACTTCGCATAACTTCGCACAACTTCGCATAAACTTTAAACTGTAATTTCGTATTTACTTTGTATCTAATTTGTATGTATTCCATTACTCAGAAATTAGCAGAACTTTTAAAAACTTAGCGATCCGTTCAGTTTAGATTTTGCTTCACATTTTCTTAAGTTACATTTTTATTGCACTGGTACAAATGGTTGTGCGAAGTTATGCGAAGTATACATAATCAGACCCTTAGTCTGTTTACGCGAACACTAGCTGTGTTTTCTAGGGTCACAGTGGCCACAAAGAACGTAAATCTATTTACCTTCTTTGTCACGGGTTAACTGGCAACTTTAAAGTGCACTAAAGCGAGGAATACTGTAGTGAATAGCTCCCAAACCGTTTCCGGTAGTGATGCATTTTGGTTCCAACCCGATTAGGATGACAGCAAAATGGAAAAATTTAAAACAAATTGAGAGAAATGTCAAAGCAAATAAACAGAGCAGAAAAAAGCATTTCGTGCACTCGCAATTGCATATTTAGTAAAAATCGTGTAAACTTGTTTTAAGTAGGAATTTTCGAAAATTTTCACCTTTTATTTCAATAAAAAGGCAGTGTGATTGCTAATAGACGTGCAGCCAATACCTTTTTAAAATGTCCACACCAAGCGATGAGCTAGTGGAACGCGTGATTGAAGTAACGGGTGCCAGTTCGGACGAGGCTAAACATTTGCTGGGTGCCTGCAACAATGACGTAGAATCAGCAGTTGCGTTATATTTTGAGCAAGGCAGCGGAGTTGCTGATATAGTTCCCACTAGCGATGGCGCCGCCGTACCAGATGCCTTCGATGATGAGGATAATGTGCGAGCGCCCATTGCTCCAAGACGTGAACAATTAATTGGACCTGAGGATGATAATTTTCTTGCAGCGCCGTCATTATCTGCTACGGGACGCATGCAACGCATGAATCAACGTGTAAAAATATGCCCCTTTCGAGATTTTGCACGCGAAGGGGAACTAATGGAGGAGCAACTGCAAGCAGATGTATCTGGACTAGCGTCAACATCAAATGGTATTAACGGTAGACGTTGGGCTAGTACACGCGCTGCTTCAATGGTGACAACAGCTGCTACAGCACAGTCGACTGATTCGAAACCTTCAACTTCTTCTCGTTTGGGTGATCTTTTCCGTCCGCCAACCGATATTGCATTCGCTGGCACCTTTCAAGCAGGCCGCGCACGTGCAACAGCACTGAGCCGTTGGCTTTTGGTGAATGTTCAAGATGACAATTTCAATTCACAGGTACTCAATCGTGATGTGTGGGCGAACAAGGATGTGCGTCAAGTTATTAAAAGACGTTTTTTGTTGTGGCAAGTAAGTATATTTCTTCAATTTTTTTTACTGTAAGCGTTTACATGAAAAGTAAAAAATATAATATATTTATTTACTGCAGATCGATGCTGATACCTCTGAAGGTCGCAGATTTGTAACATTTTATCACTGTGCGAATTTGCCATATGTGTGTGTGGTTGATCCACGTACTGGCGAAGAGATGTGGAAGTGCAATGATCCCAAAGAGTCAAATGTGCTTTCCGGTTTGCGAGAATATATAAGTGAGCACAAGGAATTCTCAGATGATGCAACCGACGATAGTCCATCTACTTCCAAACGTACTATAACGTTGTCAGATGATGAGCAAGAAGCCGAGAATAGCGCTGAAAAAAAGAAGCGCCTTAAATTACTTGATCTTACCGAAGAAGAGCAAATTAATTTAGCCATACGAAATTCTATGCGCGAAAGTAGTAGTACAAATGGTAAAAGTAAAACCAAAAATACTGGTAACAATGAAGATGGCGGCGCCGATGATAGTAGTGAATTTGAGTCAGCGGAAGAATTTGGCGATGAGGATAGCAAGAGCGCTTATAATCAAACGATTATTTCCTATGAAAAACAACTTGGTCAAGCCACTAATGAACTGACTGCGATCAGATTGCGTTTACTTAATGCCGAAGGCAATGATGAAGTGGTACAACTACGTTGGCCATCAGATACGCTCTTGAAAGTGCTGAGGCTATATATAGGCGAAAAACACTCGCATGTTGTCAAGAATGGCGGTACATATAAATTGATTTGTGCGTTCCCGAGAAAAATGCTTGAGGCGGAACATGATAGTTCTACTATAAAGGAATTGGGCTTGCATCCTTCGGCAAATTTGCATATAACATTGGATGAGTGATTATGATATTTACCAAGGAAGCATTATCATTACTATTTAATTAAATGTAATTCAAAAATATATGATTAAGATTACACCAGCAAAAGTACTTTTAGAGAAGTGTTTGGTTTCTTAGAGAGGAGCAGTTATTACATATTGCATATAGGCCCTTATTATGAGCTGCATTCGATTTTCGATCTTCGCTGGCTATCGAAGATCGAAGATCGAAAGTGAAATTCG